GGGGTGCGGCCTCCCACACTGCTGACCAGTGCGGTCACCAGTGCGGATGACATACGTGCAGCTAAGACGCTGGGCATACCACTCACGGGCCTCCTGGAGCGACGGAGTGTGCTGCTGGCTCAGACCACCGCCAGCGCCTCCACGGCCACCACCACTGCCGCCACTTCCGCGACCACCGCCTCCCCTGCCGCTGCCACGACCACCTCCGCCCCCACCGCCGCCCCCGCCCCTGCCACCACCCCCGCCGCTGCCGTCACCACCCCCACTACCGCCACTAGCCTCTCCAGCCCCTCCTCCACTCCCACCGCCTCCACCCCCACCTCCTCCGCCGCCACCTCCACCCTTGCCCCCTTTGTTCCTGCGGCGCCCGCTCGAAGCAGACGCGGTCCCGACCTTCTCAGCACCAAGAAGGTCGACAGCAGAAGCAGAGGCGACAGAGGGAAGGAGGGGGGAAGGGGAACACCCCTCAAAGAAAGGAGTGCGGGGGTCACCACGAGAGGCACCTACAGCGACGACACTCGCCTCGGCTGCAAGTAGCTCCTTCTCGAGGAGGGCAATGGTGAGCTCAGTGGGACAGCAAGCTGGGCAGAAACTGATCCCTGACTGCGCGCAGAGAGTCAGGGAGGCGGGTGACTAGGTGGTAGAGAACGAGCCAGAGCGGGGGGGGGTTGTTAGCTAGGAACTCGGCAGGCATAGCAGCGCGGAAGCGGGCCTCACTAGTCTTGAGGTGGGTGATGAGGTCAGCAACGGTGTGGAAGGAGGCCAGGTCGGGGAACAGGTAGGGGAGGGAGAGGCGGCCTAGTGCGGCAGAAGCAGGCGACGAGTAACGAGCAACTACAGCAGTGTACAGCTCCTTAGCAGTCTTGTGCTGGCCAAAGTGCTCGCGCTCATCTAGCGGCAGGGAGTTGCGAATGGCAAAGCGAGCGTGAGCGTCACGAGTCTGCCACTGTGAGCGCTGAGTGCTGTCAGCAGTAGTAGGAGGTGCAGTAGCGTGGCCTAGGGCGTGATCGTACAGTGAAATATCTTCCTTGGCAGTGAGCTGTAGGTAGAGGTGCAGGTCATCGAGCCAGGTGTCAAACTTCACTGGGCGGCCCTCAGCATCAAAAGCGAGTACAGGAGGAGTAGCCATAGCAGCAGTAGCAGTGGCAGTAGCAGCAGTAGGAGTAGCAGTAGCAGTAGTGTAGTGCAGGTAGGACAGCGCGGCTCGGCTAGGGCTGTGCGGCTCGGCTAGGGCGGCGCGGCTCGGTTCGGGGCGCGCGGCTCGGCTCGGACTGGGCGGCTCGGTTCGGGTCGCGCGGCTCGGCTCGGATCGGGCGGCTGTAGCGGGCGCGGGCCGTTGGGGCCTTTAGGGGCGAGCGCGGGGCCGTACGGGGCCTCTAGGGGCTAGCGCGGAGCCGTGCGGGGCCGTATGGGGCGAGCACGGGGCCGATCGGGGCCGCTAGGAGCGAGCGCGGGGCTTAGTCGGGGCCTCTAGGGGCTAGCGCGGGGCCGTTCAGGGCCTCTAGGGGCGAGCGCGGGGCCGTACGGGGCCGTAAGGGGCGGGCGCGGGGCCGTTCGGGGCCGTAAGGGGCGAGCGCGGGGCCGATCGGGGCCGCTAGGAGCGAGCGCGGGGCCGTTCGGGGCCGTAAGGGGCGAGCGCGAGGGCCGATCGGGGTCGTAAGGGGCGGCGCGCGGGTCACTAAGGGGCGGATCGCGGGTCGCGGGGCCTCAGGGGGCCGTGAAAAACGAGGCGCCCTAGGGCGCAGGTAGGTAGGTAGGTAGGTAGTGGTGGGCCCTAAAAAAACGGTCCTAGCGAAGGACCTGCTCTGAAACCATGTCGGAAAGAACGAACAGGAATGATGAACTAACAGTGCAAAACAGTACAAGTACCTAACCCTAGAATTGTGTACCCCGTATAGGCTAACCCACTGTAGCCTACACAAGCATAACATATATAATGTTTGACAGTTCGGAACTCGAAATTCACCGGATCGAACTCTCCTTGAACCCAAGTTGGAATGTGGTGCCGCCACGTGGCACCAAACTCTAGGTTCTTCCGAAGTCAACCTAGAACCTTCACAAAACCTGCAGCTCACTTGAAACTGAGCACAAGTCACACATTCGGTGGGTTGGGGGCATACAACCACCCCACCACCGTTTCCCTCCAACACACGCAACTTCCAACAAAGTCGACGCCGACTTGCGGTTTCCCTATCAACCAAGTAAAAAGGGCGACAAGATTCTGCGGGGTACGCGACCGTCGCCCAGGAGGTTTTGGCAAAGCCGACCTCGGTCTGGTATCCAGAGGTCAACATGACTCATCAGGCACAGTCAACGGTACATGGCCGACTTGGCACCTGTGACGTGCACGTGACGGTGCACGTCGCGCCAACCTTGGTGTGAACGTACGATGTGGGTGCAATGTGATGTGGGTGCAAGAACGTGCGCATAGAATCACATGCGGGTGCAACGTTGGTAGACCGCTCTGATGCGACGTGACAAGCCACCTTGGTGTAGCGCTGGCAGGCTGCCGACTTGTTACGTTGGCAAGCCGCTGCTCTGCAGCAGTGGAGCGCCGTCGACTTGCAGTGCTGGCAGGTCGCCGACCCCGCAGCGCTGGCTGTCGACCTGCCTGTGTGCAAGACAGACTTGCATCTGATGTAGCCAGTTTTTGCCGTTGTTTTTGCAACCATTGTTCTCAACTTATGCTAGTAAAACTCTTGCCAACTTTCACCGTGAGTGCAAAAGTGCTAGAGAATGCAAAAGAATGCTACGACCACTCGTACCACGCGTGCCATCCCCCGTAGTCTAGCTTCCGGTGTAGAGTGACTCTCCGCAGCGTCCGCAGGTGCAAGCAGCAGTGCAGGAAGCTTCACAGACTTCCAGCACAATTCCCTAAAGCACCACCTCATTGGGCAACTTGATGGTTAACTCGATGGTTAACTTTGAAACTGCCCAATGGAGTGACACACCGCACCAACACATCATCTGTTAGCGTGAATGTGACGTGAGGGTGATTTTGTGAGTTACTGACTGCCATGCGGTGCTGGCACCGCGGGAATCCGGGATTCATTGTATTTCACGGGAAATCAGTAGGCAACTTGTAGTTTTCGCTTTCAGTGTCATGGTTCATTTTTAGTGAAAGCTCATACAGAAAAGCTCAAGCAAAACACTACAGTAGCAAAAGCCAGGCAAAAGCCTAGCCTCAAGCCAAGCAAAAGCCTAGCCCTCCCTGCGAGTTCATGGTGGTTTCGTGAAGGTCCTCGGATTCGTCCAGATGGACTGGAACCCATCCTGCCACCTCAGCCCTACTACCATATTGTCACATATCCGCTTCATGGCACGTGCCTCGTCATCAACCAAATTCCATGTCGCCTTATCCCTCCGCGCCTGCATACTAGGCCTGTTACTATAGATCCTTACGTGTTTGTTGAATTCCACGTTTATCCTCCGAAGCACCTTCCGAGCCAGAAACTTCCTTGTTTTTTGCAGTGACACATCGCACCTCCCCAGCCAAATCTGGTGAACTGCCACCGCCACCATTGTTGCCTCCGGAAAACCGGACCTCTTCTCTTCCTTCCCGAATAGTAGGTCTGCCAGCCGCTCCACGTGTCTCGTCGGCTGCATCATGCCAAGTGCCGTTTTGACAGCAGCCACCACCGGCGCGACGCGCAAGCATTCCAACAAACAATGCTCCAGCGTCTCCTTCTTTCAGCAGAGCGGGCAAGCATCCCCCCCTCTCAGAAACGAAACCCTCTCCCCCACCTGGAGGTTAAGGTTTTGCGCCCGGAGCAGTACATCCCGCGCACGTAGCGGGGTTACCCAGTCCGAATCAATCTTTCTGCCCGCCCGAGCTTCCCAGCTCGCCCTCTTCTCTACTGCTTCCGTGCTTTTGCTCAGCTCCCTGAGCCGTTTCAGCGGAGCCACCTTGTCCTCGTCGAACAGGGTCGATCCCAACAGCCGCGTCCTAGCATCCCCAATCTCCCTTACTGCTCGTGTCTTGGAGAACGCCACCGGCACCACGTCGTCACATCCCAGCACAATTTTGACCTTCCAGGCCGTTCGCTCCCCGTTCCCGTCTAGACCGCATAGCTCAACTTTCCTTCCCATGCAAGTCTCCCAAATCTCCCATAGACACCTCTGACCTCCCGGGAGCTTAGTGCACACCACCGGTGTTTCGGCTGCGACCTCGTATGCCGTCAGTGGCGCCAGCAGCCACCTCTTCCATTGCTCCGGAGCTGCCGCGAACGCCTTTAACGCCATCTCTGCTTCTTTCTCCCCCCCCCCCCCAGCTCTCTCTCCAGCGTTTCTTTTGACTTCAGCACCATCGTGCCGTCCCACTTCCGTAAAACCACATCCCGCATCTTCCACTTTCTCAGCTTCTCAGTGCTTTTCTGTCCGCTGAAGGGAGCGTTTGCCCGGTGAATAATTCGCCTGTTGAAACAAAGAAACTCCTCCGCCGCCTCCCATCTCGACACCGCCTCTCTCACCTCCACCACCGTCAATTTAAGGACCGCTTTACAGATTCTCGCCCACCTTCAACTTTGAATCAATCCCCCTTTTAACACCGCCTTGTGTGCATACAACGTCGCCCATCCCAGAGGCAGGCCCGCCGCCCGTTCCGCCAGCCCGCGCCAGAGAGAGCACTCTTGCAACAGCGTCAGCCTTGCGCAGCAGCGTAAGGCCACAGTGTCGATCCTTCCGCATGGGTCGATCACCCCCAGGCCCCCTAGCTCTCTTGGCGCATAAATCAGTCCACCGCTCCATAATTTGAAATGCTTTTCCGTATCCGCGTGGCTGCCTGACACGAAGTTTTCAATCAGCTTCTCCACCCTCCTCCACAGCAGGTCGTTCGGGGGATACACCTGCGCCTGGAAGAGAAATATAGGGATAATGTAGCTGTTGATGATGGTCACTCTCGCACCCGTCGTTAAATATTTCACTTGCCATTTGCTCAATTCCTCTGCCGCCCTGTCGAAGGCCTTTTCCCACGTAATCTCTGCATTTCCCCCGGGTGTAATCTACACCCCCAGCAATCTCTCTGCCGTCTCTTTCTCCACCCACTTGTAGCCCAAACCAGCCGGCGCCGGTTCCCCCACATTCTTCCCCGGTGGAAGCACGGCAGACTTCCCAGCATTCACCTTCAGCCCCGACACTGCTGCGAAATCTTGTAGCACCGCGCCCGCCTCCGATAGTTGTGCCTCCCCTTCCAGCAACAGTGTGGTGTCATCTGCGTACCCCACGTACGCGAGTCTTTCACAACCTTTCTCTCCGATCCCCAGCTCCCTCTTCTCCACCAAACGGCTTAGTGGCTCTACCCGCACAAAAACAGGTAAGGTGCGAGCGGGCACCCTTGCCACACCCCTTTCCGCATCTGGATCTGATCCCCGACCCATCCGTTAATGCACAGCCTCGTGTGTACGTCCCTGTGCAGGCTCTCAATCCATCCCACAGAGCGCGGAGGGAAGCCAAGCTTGGCTATCGTCTCCAGCATGAAACCCCTTCGTACCGAATCGTACGCCTTCTCGAAGTCTATGAGTAGCAAATACCAGTCATTGCCTTCGTTCTTGGCCGTCTCAATCAAATCAGTGACCAACGACACTGCGTCTGTAAGCCGTCTACCGGGTAAAAAGCCAAACTGCTCCTTTGAAATCACGTGATCCAGCACCACTTTCATCCTAGTCGCCATCACCTTCGCTAGGATCTTGTACACGCTAGTCAGCAACGTTATTGGCCTGTAATTTCTGACATCCGTCTCCTCCCCCTTCTTGTAAAGCAGAATCGTGACCGCTTCGTTCGCCACCTCCGGCAGCTTCCCTGATGTTACAAACTGCTCAACCATGTTCATCACTGGCTTCTTAAGCAACTCCCACTGGTGCTGAAAAAGCTCCTTAGGGATGCCGTCACTGCCTGGCGACTTGTCATTGACCAGCTCCCGTATTGGTTGCTTAACCTCTGCCTCTGTCCAGTCCCTTGATATAGCTTCGGCAGATGCCTCCTCGAGTACCCTACGCAGGGCCTAGTCCAGCACCGGCTCTGCCTCATCACCCCCTACCTGCTCGTCAAAAGCCTCCGCGAAATGACTCTTGGCCGCTGCCAGGATCTCCCGAGCTTCTCTATGACTTACACCATTCCGTACTAGTTCCTTAATCCCCGATTTTGCTTTCCTGCTTTTGACCAGCGCCGACAGAAGAGCGGTAGGTGCCTCACCATTCAGTTGCACCTTCAGCCCCGTTCTTGTTTGCAGGAGATTTCGTCGGATATCCTAGTACCTCTCCAGCATTGCCTCCCTGTTCGTCAGCAGCGCCTGTAACTTGTCATCACTCGGGTCAGCTATCACTTTTTGCCGCAGCGTGCACACTTGCTCCTCCAGTGCGCGCCGTGTCATTTTGACCTGCCTTCTCTCCTCCTTGTCGTATTTTCGTTGGCGAGCTCCCAGGCGACTGGACAACTTGTCAAAGTCGTCGCACCCCTCTGCTCCATGCCTCCGGATCACCTCAGCCACCGCCACTTCTACACCAGGGCGCTTCACCAGTCTAGCCGGAAAGCGCCAGACACCCGGGCCAGGTTCCTGCGCATCCCTCCACACCAAACGCACACAGACTGTGCACTTAGGATCAGTGATCCCCTTCGGAATCTGCCGATGAGCAACCCTGGCAACTAGATGCAACGACTGCGAGACCAGCACCCTGTCGATCCTGCTGACTTTCGCTGATCCGCAGTAGAAGGTAAGCTGACATTCGTCCGGATTTAGCTCCCTGAATACGTCCTTCACATGAAAATCTTGCAGCATGTGCATCATCCTGTTGTTGTCTCCTACCACTCCCTGACGATTTGACTTATCTTGCACCGGGTCTTCAATCATTTTAAAATCGCCTGCTACCACCAGCTGCTCCCCTTTTGGCAGGTCTGCAACAACCATGCTGAACTCTGTTTCTAGGAAACTGCCCCTTGGAGGTGCCTGTGCTGGAAAATACACCGCCAACAATCTCATCTGCCTTGCACCCCACCGCACCCTCGCGTGGAGCAACCTGCCCGACACATGCCGGTGGACGTCCTCTACTACCACCCCATCCCGGAAGCTCAAAATGGCCACCCCACCTTCCCTGGTAGGTGCTCCTGCCGCGGCCAAACTGTGAGGATTTAACTCTGTCCAAAAATTGTGATCCTCTGCCACTCTCATATCCGCTAGAATCACCACATCCGCAGCTGTTTTGATCCATCTTTTTAACGCTTGCCGCTTTCCTTCGCTCCCCAAACCGTTGATGTTCAGGGACAGAATGGTAAGGCAGTTGGTGCTACTCATTGTTTAACCACCGTTGAGCCCCCCTCGCATCCACATGGCATTGAGACTGCAGCTGGTAATCCGACTATAAATCCTGGAGTACAACAAAAGCAACCGACGCCGCGACTAAAGCTCTCTAACCGCTCCGTCCGTACTGTGTAAGATGTTCTGACACCACCTCCCCCCACAGCCTGGTCACAAAACAGCGTCACACCCCGAACTCCTTCCTCGCCGCCTGCAGCGCCACCCCAGCCTTTGAAACGCGCGATGCAAAGCCAGCTGACACCCTGTCGCTGTGCCTCTGTGAGACCACACGCTCTGCCGCTTGCGCAAAAGTAACTCCGTTCGCCTTCTCGCAGCATTCCTGCATGCAGATCCATTCCTCGCGGTTCGCGCCGGTCAAAATCAGCACCACCGCCGGGTCCTTCAGAATGAGCCTGGTCAGATCTGTGATATGGACTGAGGCGGCTGCGCGGATCCGACACACCCACGACATTAGCACCACACCACTTCCAAAACAGCAACAGCAGGTGAGCAAGCAGAAAACACCAACCATTACCGTTAATCCCATGCACCCGTCCCAGTAACAGGCTCCATTTGCCGATGTTGTTCTGTCGTTCCACAACATAGTCGTCATGATACCTTGTCATATGAAACCCCGAACAGTAGATACAACTCTGAGAGGGGTAGTGGACCATAAGTTGCTTGCCATGCGTCGTCGGGTCGTCAATCTTGTGACGCCACCGATACTTGTCACCAGCGTGCTGCTTCACCAGTCCTTTCACCTTACCATCCGGTGAAAGCAGCTCCCTTCCTTAAACGCAGACCTTCCCCTCTTCTCCAGTTTCACCATCACCAGCATTTCCCGCAGCATCTCAGGTGTGATCACGGCATCCACTCCCTTAAACAGGACTTCCACCAACGATGGGTCTGCAGCCCGCACCTTCACATACGCAGGGTCAACCGGGTGCTGCCAGTCGAGGTTGATCCGCTTCCCATCCAGACATACGTGCACAATGCCGTGCTTCCACACAAAGTTCGCGTCCCGAGCACGCTCAAAGGTAACCTGCAGCCGACAATACTGCTTCTTGTTCAGGTACACCACTGATAACTCCTGAAACTTTGTCTCTCCTTGAATCTCAAATTTCAGATCCTTCTTCCACAGATTAAAAAGCGCGCGTAAGGTTGCCTGTACCCGCATCACCTCCGGCTTGAAGACGAAAGGAATCAGCAAGACAATGGCGCACCGAACGCGCTGTGCAACTTCGCTCTTCACAGACGCATCATACCGCTCCTCAAGATCATCACTGAGGTACCCGTCGTCCTCCTCATCGTCATCCGTAGTTAGCGCAGTCCTCGTAGCGTCACGCTTCTCCTGACTGACATTGTCGCCTTCCACCCCGTCTGCAGGCACAGGCTTATCAGTGCCAACTGTAGGAGCCACTGACGCTCCGGAAACAGCTGTTCCCAGCAAACTCCGTGCAGCCTCCTTCAAGTGCTGCGCCGTCACATCCGGCTGAAGTGCGTCTTTGTCCGCCTCCGTGAACAGATCGGTCGTGCGCTTGACAGACGAGGATGCAGAAGCGTCGACGACCACCGGCACCTCCTTAGGCTTATCCAGAGTAGCACCAGCCGAGTTTTCCGTGTTGCATACCCCTCCATTCCTGGTCGTCATCCTGGACATAGTGCGATGATGACACGGCGAAGCCTGAAAACCTCCTTGAGGTGAAAGCCAACGTCTGAGCACAAGCCCAGCACCACCATTGTCGTTTTTTATATCCTTCAACTTGAAACACCGAGAGGATGAGGTCCTTGAGAGTAGGGTTTAGGGTTTAGGGTCAGGCGGCATACACAAGTAGCAGTCACCCTCAGCACTAACAGTCAATGCATACATGGCAGCAAGAATCGCATCATAGTCAAGATCAAAGATTGGAACCTCACGCCTAAACAGGTCTGCCCACTGGGGCAGCTCAGTCACATCAGGGAACTGGGCACGCCAGGCATCATCAAGCCTAGAGAAGCAGCGGTACTCAGTAAAAAAACTTGCCGCAGGACTGACCAGCACGTGCACCTATGCGGATCTTATAAGTGCAGCGACCACGCTGAGCGTACCAGTCACGAAGCTGCTGAGACGAGGGTGGCTCACGCTGACGCTGCTGCTGCTGCTGCTGCCCCTGGCCACCATCGGGGCCTCCCCGCTGGACGGCTCCACCCCGTCCTCCACCACCGCCGCCACCACCGCCCCCTGCTCCACCACCACCGCTGCTGCCACCCCCACTGCTACCGCCACCGCCGCCGCCCCCCCCCCACCGCCTCCACTCCCACACCCACCCCCGCCACCACCACCTCCACCTCCACCTCCACTACCCCTGCCGCCCTTGCCCTTGGCGCTGCGGCACTTCCCACCAGGAGCGGAAACCACCCCGACTTCCTCAGCACCAAGGAAGTCGACTGCAGCAGCAGCAGAGGCGTAGGAGGGGGCAAGGGGGGAGGGGGAGCACCCCTCAAAGATGGGGGTGCGAGGAGTACCTCGAGCAGCACTGACAGCAACAATGCTCATCTCTGCTGCCAGGAGTTGCTTCTCGAAGTCGTCGACAGTGAGGGTGGTAGGGTCTAGGGCAAGGAAGTGGTCCCTGACCGAACGAAGGGAGTCAGGGAGGCGGGTGACTAGGAAGTAGAGGGTAAAGTACATCGGGGGGTGGTTCTCGGCGAGAAACTCGTCGGTAAGGGCGGCACGAAAGCGTAAGTCACTAGTGTGCAGGTGGGAGATGAGATCCTCAACAGTGGTGAACGAGGACAGATCGGGGAACAGGTAGGGCAGCATGAGGTGACCGATGGCTGCAGTAGCGGGGGAAGAATAGCGGGCAACTACAGCTTTGTACAGCGCCTTAGCGGTCTTGTGCTGGCTAAAGTAGGCGCGCTCAGTAATCGGCAGGTGGTTGCGAATAGCTAGGAGTGCTACAGCGTCACGAGTCTGCCAGTTAGAGCGAGTGAGAGCGTCAGCGGTAACATCAGGGGCAACAGAGGTGCCAGAGGCGTGATCGAACAGTGAAACGCCGTCTTTGGCATCAGTCATAAAAAAGAGTTGCAAGTCCTCGAGCCAGGTAGCGAACTCGATCGGGCGGCCATCAGGCTCAAATGCTAGAACGTTTAGAGTCGCCATTGGCACAGCACAGGCAAGGGGCAGCGCGCGGGCTGCAAGATTGCACGAGGGCAGAGGGGAAAGGGCGCGCGGGCTGCAGGGCAGCAGAGGGCAGCAGAGAGCGGCGCGCAAGCGGTTAGGGCGGCGCGCGGGGCAGTAGAAGGCCGCGAGCATGCGGCTAGGGCGGCGCACAAGCGGTTTGGGCGGCGCGCGGGGCTGACGAGGCAGCGGGAGGGAGCGCGCGGGGCTGACGAGGCAGCGGGCGGGGTGCGCCGTCGGCTCGCGGGGCTGGCGAGGCAGCGGGCGAGCGGCGGGCAGGCTGGCAAGGCAGCGCGGGCGGCTCGCGGGGCTGGCGAGGCAGCGGGCTAGCGGCGGGCGGGCTGACGAGGCAGCGGGCGGGCTGCTAGGGTTGCACGCGGGGCTGACGAGGCAGCTAGCGGGCAGCGGGCGGGGCTGACGAGGCAGCGGGCGGGCTGCGCGGGCGGCGCGCGAGGCTGACGAGGCAGCGGGCGGGCTATGCGGGCGGCGCGCGAGGCTGACGAGGCAGCGGGCGGGCAGCGCGCGGGGCTGACGAGGCAGCGGGCGGGCGAGGCACGGGGCTGACGAGGCAGCGGACGGGCGGCTCGCAGGTAGGGCGGCTAGACCGTGGGGTAGCGGACGGTGGGCCCTAACGAAGCTTCGGTCCTACGGACCTACTACTCTGAATACCATGTTAGAAGTTCTAGGCAAGAATGATTGGATTGATGAAACGATAGGTACATAAGCTAACCCTAACATTGGGTTGTACCCCATATGGGCTACCCCACTAGCAGCCTACACAAACATAATATACATAGTTTGACAACTGCATGTGGTGTGGTTGCTCGGAAGGCAGGAATGAAAGTTAGACGGCGGTGTGGAAGGCGAAGTGTAGGGGTGAGGAGAAGGGGGGGGGGGGGGGGGGGGGGGGGGGGGATTTTTTAGTTTCTGTGTTGTGCAATGATTATTGTCTCGTGCACCATAGGCTTGAATTCTTCTTTGCATGTTACGTTATGTTTCTCTGTTTCTAATTATTCGCTCCAAGTCTCCCTTCGGAAAAAACAATGTAGTGATGGTGTGAAAAGGCAAGGAATAATGACTAGCTTGATGAGACATAGACTTCTCATTACAGTGGCCTTGTGCCGTATCACCCCGAATAGTAGCGCATGCGCGCTTATAATAAAATCAGTTTTTTGAAGGGGGGTGCTTCTAATTGAGTATAGGGTATAAGCGTATGTGCCTGTAAAACGTGAAAAATGAAGCCCTCAATAAGACGAACACGGCCGTGAAACGTTCATGTGTGATCGTATATGGAATCAAGGCGAAATAAAAAAATTGCGATTCGATTTCCCACCACAAAGAAAGAAAGAAAGAAAGAAAGAAAAAACATCCATAAGCATACACTTGTCAGCGCTGACGCGTAACCTGCCGTGCGGTGCAATTTTATCGTCACACGCTGCCGGGCAGGTGAATTACTTCCGAACCCTCTAGAAGGGGTGGAATATGCCCTGCCAGCGCAGCATGTATGGTGCTGCGAACGCTCCTCTGCGGGTTCAGGCAAGGGGTTTCCCGTCTGTCATTGTCAAGGACCCCGAGCCGCCAATCCGAAGGGGTCCCCTCCGAACTTCATTTTTTCACCCATTCTTGCACTTTCACATTCAGTTTCTTGTTTCGCTCGTCTGGCTGCGGAAGCCATGGCGAAATCCTTGGCCCGCCTATCTAGTTAGTGCTGACGGCTGGTATAGCCGTGTTCCACCAAAGCCTCTAGAGCCACCACAACCTCCTACGCCACATGCGCCCCCTGCTCCTCCCGTTCCTCCAACACCTCCCGCTCCTCCTCCTCCTCCAAATCCGCCGGCCATCCCGTCTTGACGCTCCTGCTGCCATCTACGTTTGATGAGTATATGTCCGATACGAACAAGCCCCCATATGAGTGGATTGAAGCTTCGGCGCCGGCACCACGTTAGGGCCAACCTTAAGAGTGCAGGTAGGACGAGTCTGCCGTGGGCGCTGACGATGATGTGTCCACCGACGACGAGCAGCGCGCCGAGGCCGACAAAGGCGCTGAGGCTGGCACCGAGTCTGGCACCGGGGCTAGCACCGAGGCTGGTGTTTTTCATGAGGGTGTCATGGGCGGCAGCGACGACGACGGCGTCGAGTACTGGTCGTGCGATGGCCTAACTGATAAACTAACGATTCGATCGTATCCGCCTATTAACCGCAAGCGTCCCCACCCTTCTTGTGAGTATTGTGACGTTCCCCCCCCACTCTCCCAGGCACAAGCCCTTGCAGCATAAACGTCATGCATATACCGACCAAGAAAAAATGAAGTAGCTCGTGCGCCTGGATGTGGCGGTTTCGGTGCGCGCTGTGTCTCGTGAATCTGGCATCCACCGCAAGTGTCTCACGGAGTAGAAGAGAGTGGCGGAGGCCCTCAAATATGCTCACGACGCACTCAAACGCATGCACGGTCGCGGCAGAGCATTGTGGTACCGGCCGATGGAACTCAAGGTGTACGTGAAGCTCCTCGATTGGCTGCGCAAGGGAGTCGCCGTCTCCGTCCGTCGTCTGGAGGAGTGGTCGCGGGAGTACATGAAGGTGCTCTTCCCGGATGTGAAGTGGAAGGGGAGCCAACGGTGGTCGGACCTGTTTCAGCGGCGTTAGAATCTGAGCGTATGCATGAAGACAGGGTGGCCCAGAAAAGAGCGGAGGTTTTTATAAAAAGAGCATATATTCCATGTGATTCACTAACCCGCGCTTCTCCCCACCCCTTCCGTTGCAGATGCTCAAAGTTCAGGTAGTTCGTCCACGATAACCGTCGTGAGCGAGGCATCGCCCACGACGGCCAGATGCCGCTATGGCTGGAGATGCTGGCAAACACTGTCAGAAATAACTGAGCAGGAATGAATGAACTAGCACAGAATGTGGTACAAGTAGGAAACCCTAACTTTGTGTACCCCCTAAGGTATAACCCACTACAGCCTAGACAATATAAACATGCAATGTTTGACACACCCCCATAGGCGCAGTGGGAGACAACCACAGGGTCACAAGACCAGTCAAAGCAAAGCAAAGCAAGCTCAGGGTGGATCTCAAGGATTCCACACAAATTCCGAGCACAAACAAGCGGTCACAAGACCAGTTCACATGCAGGTTTATAACAAAGCAAGAGATACAGTGATCACAACCTAGCAGAAGTAAACAAGTAGGCATATATATATAGTGATCACAGTACAAGCAAGGTCAAGAGGTAAGCAAGTGAGGCCCAGTAGGTACAAGGCCTAGCAGCGTGCAAAAGCGCTGATGGTCACAAGGCTGAAGCGCCTTGGTGAACACATCAGCAGTGTTGGCCTCCGTGGCCACGTAACGCAGACAAAGCTGACCACGCTGCTGCAGCTCTCGAGCAAGGAAGTACCGCAGAGCGATGTGCTTCGTTCTGTGCTCCAGTCTGTGCTCCTCACACAAGGCAATGGCAGCCTTGTTGTCGACGTACAGTACTGGAGGAGAACGAGGCCGCTCTCCGA